AAACAGCTGAATCGTCCTATGTGATTATCTGTAAACAGCTGAATCTTCCTCTGTGATTATCTGTAAACAGCTGAATCTTCCAATGTGATTATCGGCACCTGTGAAGGGCCACCTCCTCGTGGTGGGTGCTGGGTAACGCTAAGAGCCCTTCAACCCCCCCGTTGTGGACCCGGGGGGATATTTGGTCCACCAACCCGTTTGCCGTGGGTTGCGCCCCTGTGTCGGTGGAGGACGGGAGGCTGGTGGTTGAGGGCACTGGTTCCAGGAACAGTGTTCCTTTGCCCAACACACCACTTCGCCCCTTACTTCCCCTAGACGGGTGGTTGAACTGGCCCGGTTCAATCAATCGGCTGGTCATGCCAAGCCCTGAGTATTATTGTATTTCCAAAAAATACTTAAACTTTTTAACTTGTTTTGATAAAAGTCTTGGCCAAATTATCTATCACTCGAATTGCATGTGCATCTTCATCAATTTTGTAATTTGCCTAGAGTCATATACCCAGAAGGCGGTGGCTCATGGGCCAATCTGGTAGATTAATTAATTCTTTAATTCTTCTGCTGGAGTATATCATCCGGGTATCCCTGGTGCTGCAAGTCGGATATCCACTTGTTATTAGCATTGTCCTTGTGATACTCCATGGTGGGTGGGGAGCTCGGATGATGAACCTTATTACCAACAAACATGGACTACCGAACCCCTAATAAAAAAACCAAACGTCCTCTGGATAATGAAGACGAGCAACGGCCTTTAACGCCTGTAGAACATTGGCCACGGTTTCTAGTGATTGAGACAGTTGACAAAACACCTCTCAAGCTGAACCCTTTTGCAATATCTAAGGGAGTTCAAGGCATAGCTGGCGAGGTAAAACATCAGACGATTGCGATCAGGTTCTTTGCTAATAGAATGCAACAGGAAGCAACAATCCAACAACCTCATGTCAATAGTTTCGTTTGTCGGTGTTCCTGTTTCAGTTACAGCTCATAGAACACTCAATACCAGTAAAGGCATTGTTCGTGACAGGGATCAGTTGTTTACTGATATGACTGAAGCTGACATAGTGTTTGAGATGCGAGATCAAGGTGTTCTGTATGTTAAACGGTTCTCCACACGAAAGAACTCACAAACACAACCTACTAATACATACCTTTTTCATTTTCAACATCGACTGCCCCAACAACAATTAAAGCAGGTTACTGCAATATCAAAGTTGACACTTATATTCCCAACCCGCTGAGGTGTTTCAAATGCCAAAAATATGGCCATGGCGTCAATACGTGTACACGATCTGTCACATGTGCTCACTGCAGTGAGCAAACTCACACAACGGAAGACTGTGACAATGATGTTAAAAATGTACCAATTGTTCAGGGAGTCACCCGTCATACTCCAAAGACTGTCCTATCTGGAAACAACAGATGGAAATAAATAAAATTAAATTTTCCAGAAACATCAGTTTCTCTGATGCAAAAACTTGTTTTATCTCGGGAAGGCACAGGAACGTATGCGTCTATCGTTCAGATAGCCCTGAAACAACCCCAAAGTCAAGACATCATCTATAGACTGCCAGACAGACTTGACATGGTTGAAATCTGAAGCACCTCAAATATACTCAAATGAACAATCAACTCAAACATCGGATTCACTTTCTGACATACAGACTCCATCACAAGACCAATCATCGTCTTTCACCCAGAATCAATCACCAGCACAAAACCCACAAAAGTCTCACAGAAATATGAAGCAAACCAAAGCAAGAACTGAATCTTCGAAAGGACATCTAAGTGATAGAATTTCAAAAGGGTCAGATAATCAGATCCAACTATTTAATAAGTTTGGATCTCTGGAAAGAATGGATGTGGCTGAAAACATCGAGCCACGGGCGCATAGCATATCGCCCTCTTAAAGGTACGGGGTAGATCCCCAATCATTCCACCCAAAGATAGCTTCCCTAAAGAATATTATACAGTGGAATTGCCGAGGACTGAAGACCAACTTTAACGACTTACACCTATTGGTTCAGGACTTTAGTCCATCAGCATTCTGTCTGCAAGAAACATATCTAAAGCAGACAGATAATTTCAGTTTACGTCAGTTCAATGCATGTCATTCTTTTTCTCCCCGGGTGATAGGGCTACGGGAGGATCTTCCATCCTTGTACGGCATAATGTACTCCAAAGCCCTGTTTTGCTTAAAACTAATCTTCAAGCCGTTGCAGTACGCATTACTCTGCACGTTGCTTTTACTCTCTGCTCGCTGTATATTCCGCCATCTTCAGCTCTTCAGCAGGCTGATATTCAAACACTTTACAATCAACTTCCGAAACCCTGTATTATTATGGGTGACTTTAATGGCCACAACCCACTATTGGGCGGTACAACTCTGAACGCTAAAGGTAAAATACTGGAGGAGTTTATTTCAAACAATGATTTATGCATATATAATGATTGTTCAAACACATATTTACACCTGGCACAGGAACGTATTCAGCTCTTGATTTGTCAATTACTGATTCTAACCTATTAAATGAGTTTGAATGGTCAGTCCACGACGACCTCTGTGGTAGTGACCATTTTCCTACAATACTAAAACCTGTAAACCCATCTGATGTTCCTCCATCATCAAGATGGAATTTTAAAAAGGCTAACTGGCCTTTATATGAAACTCTCTGTTCTGCCAAACTTAAACCTGAACTTTTTATAGATGTTCCTGATCCTATAAAAGACTTTTCTTATGAACTGAATATCATAGCTGACTATTGTATACCAAAGTCCTCTGTGGTTCCACATATTCGGAAACCATGGTTCAACGATGAATGCAAACAAGCTAGGAAAGCGCGGAAAAAAGCTGAACATTATTTCCGTCGCCATCCTATGGTGCACAATTTAAATAAATTTAAAATTTTACATGCTAAAGCGCGGCGTACCTTTAAGCAGCATAAACGCCAATCTTGGCAAAATTATGTATCTAAAATAAATTTTCGAACGCCCATGCCAAGGTTTGGAACATGGTCCAGAAAATTAAAGGTAAAGGTACTAAATCTAGTGTCCATCATCTTAAACATGGAGATCAATTACTTACCGATAAATCAGATATTGCAAATAAACTGGGTGAAACTCTCGCTAAACACTCTTCCTCTTCTAATTATGTGCCTAAATTCCAACAATATCAAAAACAAGAAGAAAAGAAAACTATTAGTTTCCATTCAGATAATGGGGAAGATTATAATGAAACATTTTCTATTCATGAACTCCATACTGCTCTTGAGCAAGCTCACGATACTGCTACAGGAGCTGATAACATACATTATCAACTCCTGGAAGCACTTACCAGAATCATGTTTTGAAACGCTATTACATATTTTTGATGATATTTGGACGTCAGGGGAATTTCCTTCCTCATGGCGGGACGCTATAGTTGTACCAGTACCTAAACCTGGACGTGATCATACAGATCCGTCAAATTACCGACCTATTTCACAAACAAGCTGTGTTTGCAAAACCATGGAACGCATGATTAATAATCGACTTGTTTGGTACTTGGATGTCACATCACATCTGTCAGTTAAGCAGCTATTCAGTACTAACAAACGCACCTTATAGCTGTAATCAATAAAATACCAAATATATGTGCAATTCAATCATTTAAGACACCAGTCAGCGATCTAATATGGGAGCAGTGTCAATTCAAACATTGAAAAGAAAATGTGTGAAAGTGTGTGTAAAAGAGAAAGTGTGTGATCTGGACTAACAGTTGTTAGACTTCCATTCTGTGAAGGTTTCCGTGGCTGATTGGGTGAGCTCGCTGACTTTGTGTATGGCGATCAGATAGCTCACCATGAGGGTGTTTATTCTAACCGTATTAGTATTCACTAAACTACTGGAGATTGTACTTGACTAAAGTGTTATCCAGTATACATAAGATATGTTATACCATCCACACCATGGTACTTACTTCCCCATCCTGATCACCATCTAGAATTGTGGATCAAGCATATCTCTCGCCACTACGTCGCTTACAACGTTTTCTGTCATCACTGAATCAGAGGAAAACCTAAAATCGTCTGTAAACATGGCGCAAAGCCATCCCAGGTGGATGCCTCGCCTGTCCCAAATTTTGCCGTCAATATTCGGCTAACCCATTCCAAAGACATTAGATGTTCAAAACAGTAGATGTTGAAAATCACCTTGTACAGACTTTTCGATTGATAACAGGCGCCGATTTGAAGCTATTGCCTCGAACAATTAATGAAAAGCTAGGTCTCATTGCAATCCCATCCGCTTGACGGCATACTGACACCTTTTTCTGTTCCTAGAGATAGTTTCGGAAGTATTTCAAAGCGTATCACATCGGAGATTGTGAGTTCCCCATAAGGAACACGCCCTTTCACCTGTATGTGCACGTGTGTCACGTGATATTCATGCGCAATGTGAAATTCCACTACTGAGCAATATAGATGTTGCTTTGATATGCATTTAACTTTATTTCCATTTTATTGCACATAAAGTTAAATTTTAAATTAATAAGGCGGTGAATAATTTATCTTCTTAAGGCCAGACCAGTTTTATTTCTTGTTTTACGCATCCGCCGGTCGTATTTTTTCCAGAATAAGGAAAAAGATTTCTCCGCTAAAATAATTTTAGTATTTAAAAGGAATATTACTTTGACTTGTCATGTTTTTCCCCTCCTGCTTTCTGGTTTTCTGAGGACAAAAATCCGTAAAACAAGTAATAAAATTGGTGTGGCCTCAAGTGGAATTGCTACACCAAATCATATTAGTCACATCACCCCTGTCAGTTTTCAGCTATTCAGTAGTAACAAACGCACCTTATACCCGTAATCACCAATTTAGTAATCACTGCTCATGCTATCGATCACTGGTTTACAGGACCAGGATTATTTACAAGATCCTGTGATATAGCTGGAATATTCCTTACTGCCGTGAAAACACAATTCACTCACTCACACACAATACTGAAAATTGAAAGAAACAATGAAAGCGGCAATTTTACAAGCACTTTATTTATCAATCTTTGTTCTCGTGTACAGATTATATCGTCTGTCAGAGAACTACAAACTGTGTCATGATAAGAGCTGCTCAAGAAATATACATAAAACTGTCTCTGCTAGAGTGAAAGCTTTGTGATATACAGGCACGTTGAGCGAAATACACAACTAAGTCTAGAGTTCTCACCAGTTTAGAGTCCGACATTCATCAGAAAACAACATAATATGTCACTTTTAAGTTGCAAAAACATATATTTGATCATGAAACTATTAGTGAAATGGTATACAGAAAACTGTACTTTGAAACAACATATCTCAGTTTTGTGCTCTCAACTCAACCAACCCTGACATTCATTAGAAAACAACATTATGGCTTAACATAACAACTTAGTTTAAGCGGCAACAACACGAATATGATCATGAAACTATTAATGCGAGGATTCAAAACATTTATAATACCCAGAAGAGTGAAGTGAAATAGAAAACATTGCTATGTGAAACATTTTGTGTAAAACCTGACATCACATATTTTCATCACATCAGATTTCAAAACATCGCACAATGTCTCCTAATGGTGGTGGTAATATCAATTATTTCAACATGAAGATACTGATGTGGTATTTCTAAATACTTTGTAGACATTGTACAATCCCCTCGTGCAGCAAAACATCACATTTAGCAAACTTCGCTACTTTCTGTAAACATGTAACAGGAAACGAAACGGACCCTTCTATGTCCGCTTCGCCGAGTAACGTAGAGGTTATTGAAACGTCGGCTAGTCTCTCAGTTACACTGGTAACGTCACACAGTCTCATGTCTTGTGTGTTTTCTATGTCAGCGCATCGTGAATCAGAGACCTCTTTGTGTCAGTGATGTCGATGTCCCCACCGCTGACCAGCCTCATGTTGACAGTGACTTCATCTGGCAGCAGCCAAACACCAAACATGGGGTACAGGTCTTCCGTGAACATCTCATCAAACTTGGCTAAAACAATCTCTCTGTTCAAGTCGATAAATGCGAGTCTTCCCCTCGCCACATCCAGCACAAGGCCATAGTGGAGGGTGGCCTGTGTGCCGGGAGTGCGGGACACGGTGTTCTGCTGACACTCGCCCTGCTTCCTCTCCCTGTACACCGTGGTACAGAGACTTCCTGGGTGTCTGTAACATCTCTCTACACGGACACACCAGGAGCGACGCTGATTAGAAACCCACCGCTCCCTGTCCACCTGGCTTGCCTCACTCACCCCATCTCCAGTACAAGCCATCCCCACTTCCCTCACCAGCCGCAACCTGGTGAGTGTCTCCCAGTATCTAGGTGTGCTGTATACTGGGGTGAGAGTGGAGTGGGGTGGAAGTAGGGGATCGGGGTGGAAGCACAGGTCCCACAATACTCCTGTAACCTGTGCCTCTCCTGATGTGACTGTGTGAGGGGTGATGAGTTGACCAACTCACCGTCTTTAGTTACGTGGTACCAGTCTGTGGGTGCTCGTGCGGCGTCCAGGTGTAGTTCAGGACCTGGAAATACAGATTGGGTTTGTTGTGAGACGAGTTTATTTACTGTCATTGACATAGCCGGGTGTTTAATCGGAATTGCATGTGCTTATCTGTAAACAGCGGAATCTTCCAATGTGATTATCTGTAAACAGCTGAATCTTCCTATGTGATTATCTGTAAACAGCTGAATCTTCCAATGTGATTATCGGCACCTGTGAAGGGCCACCTCCTCGTGGTGGGTGCTGGGTAACGCTAAGAGCCCTTCAACCCCCCGTTGTGGACCCGGGGGGATATTTGGTCCACCAACCCGTTTGCCGTGGGTTGCGCCCCTGTGTCGGTGGAGGACGGGAGGCTGGTGGTTGAGGGCACTGGTTCCAGGAACAGTGTTCCTTTGCCCAACACACCACTTCGCCCCTTACTTCCCCTAGACGGGTGGTTGAACTGGCCCGGTTCAATCAATCGGCTGGTCATGCCAAGCCCTGAGTATTATTGTATTTCCAAAAATACTTAAACTTTTTAACTTGTTTTGATAAAGTCTTGGCCAAATTATCTATCACTCGAATTGCATGTGCATCTTCATCAATTTTGTAATTTGCCTAGAGTCATATACCCAGAAGGCGGTGGCTCATGGGCCAATCTGGTAGATTAATTAATTCTTTAATTCTTCTGCTGGAGTATATCATCCGGGTATCCCTGGTGCTGCAAGTCGGATATCCACTTGTTATTAGCATTGTCCTTGTGATACTCCATGGTGGGTGGGGAGCTCGGATGATGAACCTTATTACCAACAAACATGGACTACCAAACCCCTAATAAAAACCAAACGTCCTCTGGATAATGAAGACGAGCAACGGCCTTTAACGCCTGTAGAACATTGGCCACGGTTTCTAGTGATTGAGACAGTTGACAAAACACCTCTCAAGCTGAACCCTTTTGCAATATCTAAGGGAGTTCAAGGCATAGCTGGCGAGGTAAAAAACATCAGACGATTGCGATCAGGTTCTTTGCTAATAGAATGCAACAGGAAGCAACAATCCAACAACCTCATGTCAATAGTTTCGTTTGTCGGTGTTCCTGTTTCAGTTACAGCTCATAGAACACTCAATACCAGTAAAGGCATTGTTCGTGACAGGGATCAGTTGTTTACTGATATGACTGAAGCTGACATAGTGTTTGAGATGCGAGATCAAGGTGTTCTGTATGTTAAACGGTTCTCCACACGAAAGAACTCACAAACACAACCTACTAATACATACCTTTTTTCATTTTCAACATCGACTGCCCCAACAACAATTAAAGCAGGTTACTGCAATATCAAAGTTGACACTTATATTCCCAACCCGCTGAGGTGTTTCAAATGCCAAAAATATGGCCATGGCGTCAATACGTGTACACGATCTGTCACATGTGCTCACTGCAGTGAGCAAACTCACACAACGGAAGACTGTGACAATGATGTTAAAAAAATGTACCAATTGTTCAGGGAGTCACCCGTCATACTCCAAAGACTGTCCTATCTGGAAACAACAGATGGAAATAAATAAAATTAAATTTTCCAGAAACATCAGTTTCTCTGATGCAAAGAAACTTGTTCTATCTCGGGAAGGCACAGGAACGTATGCGTCTATCGTTCAGATAGCCCCTGAAACAACCCCCAAAGTCAAGGTTGAAAGTCAAGACATGGTTGAAATCTGAAGCACCTCAAATATACTCAAATGAACAATCAACTCAAACATCGGATTCACTTTCTGACATACAGACTCTATCACAAGACCAATCATCGTCTTTCACCCAGAATCAATCACCAGCACAAAACCCACAAAAGTCTCACAGAAATATGAAGCAAACCAAAGCAAGAACTGAATCTTCGAAAGGACATCTAAGTGATAGAATTTCAAAAGGGTCAGATAATCAGATCCAACTATTTAATAAGTTTGGATCTCTGGAAAGAATGGATGTGGCTGAAAACATCGAGCCACGGGCGCATAGCATATCGCCCTCTTAAAAGGTACGGGGTAGATCCCCAATCATTCCACCCAAAAGATAGCTTCCCTAAAGAATATTATACAGTGGAATTGCCGAGGACTGAAGACCAACTTTAACGACTTACACCTATTGGTTCAGGACTTTAGTCCATCAGCATTCTGTCTGCAAGAAACATATCTAAAGCAGACAGATAATTTCAGTTTACGTCAGTTCAATGCATATCATTCTTTTTCTCCCCCGGGTGATAGGGCTACGGGAGGATCTTCCATCCTTGTACGGCATAATGTACTCCAAAGCCCTGTTTTGCTTAAAACTAATCTTCAAGCCGTTGCAGTACGCATTACTCTGCACGTTGCTTTTACTCTCTGCTCGCTGTATATTCCGCCATCTTCAGCTCTTCAGCAGGCTGATATTCAAACACTTTACAATCAACTTCCGAAACCCTGTATTATTATGGGTGACTTTAATGGCCACAACCCACTATTGGGCGGTACAACTCTGAACGCTAAAGGTAAAATACTGGAGGAGTTTATTTCAAACAATGATTTATGCATATATAATGATTGTTCAAACACATATTTACACCCTGGCACAGGAACGTATTCAGCTCTTGATTTGTCAATTACTGATTCTAACCTATTAAATGAGTTTGAATGGTCAGTCCACGACGACCTCTGTGGTAGTGACCATTTTCCTACAATACTAAAACCTGTAAACCCATCTGATGTTCCTCCATCATCAAGATGGAATTTTAAAAAGGCTAACTGGCCTTTATATGAAACTCTCTGTTCTGCCAAACTTAAACCTGAACTTTTTATAGATGTTCCTGATCCTATAAAAGACTTTTCTTATGAACTGAATATCATAGCTGACTATTGTATACCAAAGTCCTCTGTGGTTCCACATATTCGGAAACCATGGTTCAACGATGAATGCAAACAAGCTAGGAAAGCGCGGAAAAAAGCTGAACATTATTTCCGTCGCCATCCTATGGTGCACAATTTAAATAAATTTAAAATTTTACATGCTAAAGCGCGGCGTACCTTTAAGCAGCATAAACGCCAATCTTGGCAAAATTATGTATCTAAAATAAATTTTCGAACGCCCATGCCAAGGTTTGGAACATGGTCCAGAAAATTAAAGGTAAAGGTACTAAATCTAGTGTCCATCATCTTAAACATGGAGATCAATTACTTACCGATAAATCAGATATTGCAAATAAACTGGGTGAAACTCTCGCTAAACACTCTTCCTCTTCTAATTATGTGCCTAAATTCCAACAATATCAAAAAACAAGAAGAAAAGAAAACTATTAGTTTCCATTCAGATAATGGGGAAGATTATAATGAAACATTTTCTATTCATGAACTCCATACTGCTCTTGATCAAGCTCACGATACTGCTACAGGAGCTGATAACATACATTATCAACTCCTGAAGCACTTACCAGAATCATGTTTAGAAACGCTATTACATATTTTTGATGATATTTGGACGTCAGGGGAATTTCCTTCCTCATGGCGGGACGCTATAGTTGTACCAGTACCTAAACCTGGACGTGATCATACAGATCCGTCAAATTACCGACCTATTTCACTAACAAGCTGTGTTTGCAAAACCATGGAACGCATGATTAATAATCGACTTGTTTGGTACTTGGAAACTAATAACCTTATAACAGATATACAATGTGGTTTCCGTAAAAAACAGAAGTACTGTCGATCACCTAGTGCGTTTGGAATCATTTGTTAAAAACGCACTCATTAATAAACAACACGCTGTGTCTATCTTTTTTGATCTTGAAAAGGCCTATGACACTACGTGGAAATATGGCATTTTAAAAGATTTACATGGCTTCGGATTGCGAGGCCGTTTGCCTCAATTTATAGAAAACTTTTTAAAGGACAGACAATTTTAAGTCCGAGTGGGTTCTACCCTGTCTGATCATTACAATCAGGATCAGGGTGTCCCACAAGGCAGTATTTTGTCTGTGACTTTATTTAGTATCAAGATCAACAGCTTATCCAAGGTTTTAAATGATTCAATTGGTGGATCACTTTTTGTGGATGATTTTAATATTTCTTGTCGTGGTAAAAATATGCATACTATTGAACGACAACTGCAGTTGTGTTTAAATAAAATACATAAATGGTGTCTGGAAAACGGCTTTAAATTTTCTAAATCCAAAACCAATTGCATACATTTCTGCCGTAAATACAAACCGCATGAAGACCCTGAACTATCTCTGAATGGCACTCCCATCAAAGTTGTTAAGGAGGCCAAGTTCTTGGGTTTAATTTTTGACTCTCATTTAACATTTCTGCCGCATATTAAATCCCTCAAAACTAACTGCCTGAAGGCACTTGACTTGTTGAAAGTTGTTTCAAATTCTAAGTGGGGAGGGGATCAAGCCACTCTCCTACACCTATATCGATCATTGGTCCGCTCGAAACTTGATTATGGCTCCATCGTATATGGTGGAGCCTGCAAGAGCAACTTAAAACTATTAGATTCTGTCCATCACCAAGGTCTAAGACTATGTCTTGGGTCCTTTAGAACTTCACCTGTTGACAGCCTCTACGTCGAGGCTGTCGAGCCATCTCTTACACAACGCCGTATAAAATTAACTTTACAGTATATTACAAAACTTTATTCCAATGAGTCAAACCCTGCATATAATTGTATCTTTACTCCACTATATGAAGATCTGTATAACAAGAAACCTTCTCTTGTTCCGCCTCTTGGTATAAGAGTGAAACCTTTCCTTTCTTCTGCTGGCATTGAGCTAGAACATATAGCTCCTTCCCGTTTTCTTTCTTCTCCGCCTTGGCAATTGGTTAGGCCACAAGTTGACCTAACATTAACTACATTTAAAAAATCAGAAACAAATGAATTACAGTATAAACAAGAATTTAGTCAATTAAGAAATAAATATAATACATACAAATCCGTATTTACAGATGGCTCCAAGGATGGTGGTGCAGTGGCATGTGCCACTGTCATTGGATCCAGAACAATATCTTCTAGAATACCAG